TACCCTCTATAACACATTCTTTGTTCTGGATATTAAGGTTTTGATTAAAAAAGATGTGTTTTCAATAAGTATTTTTAAGACAGGAAGGAATGAGTAGAATATTTTGACAACAGAATTAAAAACAAGTTATACTGTTCACTGTTCCTGGATGGAAATGATTAAACATTGRAAAAAAAAATAGACAAAAACATAATTTTTGTATATAAAAATATATGTAATAAATATAATATTTGTGAATTCAGAATCACTACATTGACAAGTCATCATAACTATAGTGAAAAAAATAAAAAGCAATCTCAGAGTTTAATGCAAATTTGGACAGATAAATGATCAACTTTGGATATTAGCTCTTCGGGTTTGACAGTATTGGTGTAGTAGTACAACTGGTTTTTTTTAGTTCAAATCTTTACAAAGTCAGCATTGAAGTTTGATTTTTAGTATTCTACGACCTTATCTGCAATCAAATAATCATTTACTATAATAACAACCTTATAAGCATGTCTTTACTACTGCTGAGAATGTCAAGGATCTAACGGTCCTAGCTGAGAGGTTGAACAACTAACCTCAGCATGAAATCAACCTACAGAATATGTTCTATAGAATGACTGTGCAGGTAATTGTAACATACGGGATGCGATTAAACATACTGATGGTTTGTTGGCAAGTCATAATTATTAACTATCAAAGTAGTGGACTATAAGAATGATTTAAGATGAGGTTAGTATTGACATCACAGTGTGAAAGTCTTGCTCAACAGCTATTCTATTTTAAATGTACAAAGGCTTTACCAGCAGGAGGCTTAGTTAGCTGGTTACTAAGAATATTTTGAGACTTGAAGAGTACCAAAAAGAATGATAATAATAACTAATAGAATTCTACAGTTTTAGTTATTGAATAATAAACATTTATATAGAAATGTGTCTTAGGTTTGATGATTAAGAGTAAGGGAAATAGACAAACTGTATATCATTCAAGAGTTTTATCTATTAAATAGTATACATTTGTATAGAAAAGGGTCTTAGGTCTGATGATTAACAGTAGGGGAAATAGTCAAACTGTATAGGAATTAACAGTTCTATCCACTTAATTATCTTAGTTTTTATTTTATAAGGCCTAAGGAATAAAGTGATAGCACATTTAAAAGCTCTCTCTGTTTTGAAAACAAAGTATATGCATATCGATCTAGACAAAATAGTAAAACTCATAGCATTTCTGCCAGATGGTTACCAAATCAGACCACCTTGTCTCAAAATGTAAATTATAAACACATGTTTTTGAAACAGGAAAGGATAAAAAGAGGATGTTAGGGTTAAAAAACAATTGCAATTAATTCCTAAAATGTATAGATATTATGGGACATAGAGGAAAGAGTGTTAGCCAGCAAGGTTATGCATAGCTCATATAAGAGCAGAAGAAATACTCAAGTTCATGAGCATAATTTATATCCCGAGGGCAGCATATAGAGTTACCCAAGCATAACCCATAGCTTTTGGACTCGTATAATATGGATCCTGCTCTATTCTGAGTCATGTCAACCATGCTTGAAGTGACACGGAATGAAGGCACACAGAACAAGCAGTTTATTAAAAAATCCCTCCTTTTTTTGTTCAGTATATTGGTATGATTTGCAGTAAGGGGCAAAAGCATGCCAAGTTATTAAATAGCTGGGATAGCGTGAGGGCTCTCCTTGGTAGATAAGCTTCGACTCATTTGATATGGAGGTCCCAATGACTTTACAATAGTTAGACAAGATAATAATCTAACGCTGCTTTAGTGATACCACCCAAATTCTTTTTGCTTTACTAACAAGAGAGCATTAGGCCCTAAACCTCTCGCCACGAGTAAGCCATGGTTAAATTCCCTAATTCGATTTGGTCTTTGAGGTGTTGACAAAATTTCGCGCAAAAAAGCTTAGGAATTGTTTGGAATAATAATAGATCGACTTGAAGAATTGATGACAGAAACGAACCAAAGTAATTTCGATTTGGTTTCTCATTTGTGAATTCTGATGATACGATATTGAAAAACGACTTAGCTTAATCGAGTTCACATATAAAAACACTAAATCAGAAAGCACTGTCTAAAAGCTCAGCTCTCTGGATTCTTTTCGAGTCATTAATTATTTCATGACAGCTGAGATGAAGAGAACCAGGAGAATGGGCCTCCTCGAACCTACGAAAACCTCCAAAGAGAATAAAAAGTTACTTGGCAAACACTAAATATTGAGCTCTGGTTTTGTTTTGATAGTGTTATCGCCATGTCTAAAGTCTCTACAGACATGGCACGAAATGAAATGTGCTGGAGCCGAAAACATTACTTGTCTCGATAATTCAGCTCTAAGCTTTTCCTCGGCCATGGAATAAAGTTATGAAATTGTTAACTTGTTAGGCTGGCCGGGTTGATAGCTCGAATAGATTATATGAGAATCTTGTCATATGATCGAGCAAATATCCGTCGGATTTTCGATAGCTCTTGATTTCAGATTTCGAGTTCTGAATTAGAGCGCGAGATCGGACCAATTTAGACAGGAAAAAAAAAATTAGGAAGATTTTTAAATTGAAAGACGACGAGGGGTATAGTATCCCTATAATGAAACGCATGTATAAGATCAAGCATTAATCATAAGACTCGGTAGGGAAACTAAGTTGTAAAATTTATTTATAATCTTGCTTCGATCTTTATATACTTAGCCGCGTGTGCTTTCTTGCCACGACTTGCTATAATAATCGATCAGACCAAGATCTCCGACATTCCAGTTGGGAAACAACCTTTTAAAACATAAACACCACTTGGGAAAAACTAAAATTAATATTACGGGATTACTAGATTAACAGAGGAAGATACAGTTCCCATGCTTTGAATCATGTTTCGTGATGATCTTGGCCGAAGGAGTTCGTCTTTCGCCAAAACAAACTAAGTCTGGTGTATGACTGACTTGTGACATATGCGAGAGACAAAGATTTGTTTTCGTTGGGTTTTAGTGAATCGTGTATTTTCACGGCAAGTAGCGATGTAGTCTTTTAGATTTCGGCTCTTACAGTTCCCACCAACTGTGCTACTACCACATACAAAAGTCAGCATGCCAATACTAAACAAATATACACACAGAATCGGCCAAAACACAGCACTCGATTGCGTTCTACATGCTTCGCTCCTCGCACGCTTTCAAAGAGAGAAAAATTATAGGTTTTCTAACGACTGGTAGAGAAAATATAGCCATCAACTTACCCGCCATGCAGGGACTGGAGGTGGATCAACTTCAGCGTTGTATTGTAAGAGTAGTTTTACGCAGTCAGTATGTCCATGACGAACTGCAACATGAAGAGGCCTCCAACCGCCATTTGCAGTAGCATTAACGTTGGCTCCGTGTTTTGAGAGTAATTCTAAACATTGTATATGGCCATTACGAGCGGCATAGTGTAAAGCAGTCCAGTTGCTTCGTGTGGCCGCGTTGACGTGTGCTCCTTGTTCGAGCAAAGCAGCTAAACAATCAACGTATCCTTGTTCAGAAGCTTCGTGAATCGGAGTCAAGCCATCATAGGTGGCAATATTAACATTAGCATTGTGCTTTAACAGTATTTCCACACATCTGTACTGTCCGTGTCGAACTGCTTCGTGCAAAGCAGTCTTGCCGTATTTATGACAACCATCTATCGGAGCGCCCGCTTTCAACAACTCACGTAAGTCTTTCTTCGAACCTTTGTAAGCAGCTCGTTTTAGTCGACACAGAAGCATTTCTGGGCTAACTTCTACTTGCTCTCGCTTCGTTCCCGGATAATTTCCCATGCTTAAGCAGCAGAGTTCTGGCCGAAATGTAGAGATTTCATCCTCACTCAAACGCCATCGCAGGGCGCTCTGTCTAGACTGACGGGCCACAGAGCCGATCGTGTTGGCGTTCCTCCTGTTTTCCAATCTCCCCAGGGGGGTAGGGTTACGAGACGTGCATTACCTTGACAATAAAAACCACAAAAAAAATCCATCAATAGGGTCTCAACACTAAATAAAGGCTGAAATCTTTCAAGAGCTGGAAAAGTATGCCATTAAATTTTATTTTATTGAGAATACTTGAAATGAATAAAAGATATCGGTGTTTAAAAGATAGGGTGAAAATCTCCTAAGGGTCCTCTCCCTCGGCTGTTTTTCAGCTTCTTTGTTCGCTTCGACCCAGCTTCCCGTTGATTCGCTCATTGAAAATGTTGTTAAAACATGGCACCCGAGGTTATACGATAGGCAAGCAAACAAAAGGTCCTACCAGGATTTATCTATAACTTGTTGACTTGACGGTCTACCTAAAATATGAACAAAATGAAAGATGCAATTTGCGATAAGCTGAAGTTGTTTGATCGAGTGCCACGGAGCATAACGTATAAATGTTCTGTAATTGGTGGTAATTTTTTGCTTCCTAGCCCCTGCTTCTGGCTCACGAAATGATCGCTCGAAGCATTCAACACTTTAAGTCTTTTGTATACGTCACTTCTTAGTTTACCTTTCCAAAGTAAACTCACTTAGAGAGGTAAATAATTCAGCGGAGAGAAAGGATCTCTCATAGGAAGCCGAACGTCGGACTTATGTGTGTTCCTCTTTTAGATAGAGGTCAATTATCTATTCTTTGACTGGCGCCAGTCTTTCTGAGCTCTTCAAATACTCTAGTTGTCGTTTCACCGAATTCATCGAGTTTTTATTTCCTTTAGCGTCTTGTTTCCTCATGCTTTGAACAGGATGTTCGTCGGTAAGTTTAATATAGGACATGCTGCCCTTTGCGGCTTGCTGGGGAACGAAACTCCAAAGTCAAATGCTAACCTCTTACACATATACATTAAAAATGTTAATAAAGTGTTATCAGTTCTTTAATGGTATATAAAATAGACCTTTACAAGCAATATGAGATTGCTAGCGTGGTGTTTTGAGACTTGCTGTGTTTATAACCGGATTAGTATATACTCTGTTTTTGCCGGTTGCTTATATATGTTCTTTTTTTTWATTTAGTTTTTTGTTGTTGTTGCTTCAAAAATATCTAAAACATATCCTTTTTCTATTCAGCGATGAAATGATTGGCATTAAGTTTGTTTACAAGTGAGATTATTAGCCAAAGCTGACTATCTATCTATAAGACTCGCTACAACGTCACCTAAAAAGAGTGGAAAATTTCTTGCAAGCATAGCCACAAGTCTGCCAGTGTGGTAAGCATCGAAATTGTTTCCTCACGAGATCAAATTTTGTTGTTAGTTTTGATAGCCCTCGATACCTTTGTGTGGTATTGATATATCATTAAGTATCAGATGTGAAATTTTCGAGTTTTCTAGATAGGCTAATATTTTAGCGATTAAACAGAAATAAGATAAGATATACAATTCGGAGATTTCTTCCTATCGCTTTTGTGCGAATCAACGTCAGTATTTGTCAAGATCTTTTTTTTATTATTTTGGACTTTAAGAAATGGCTCCGTTCTTCCGTTGTGAACAGTTTTTGTGATGCATAATTTTTCAAGATAAGATACTGGGCTACAGCCGGCAAGTTTCACCCGAGTACAGTTCATTGGTTGTTCTAATTCGAGGAGGTCTCTTGGAGCCTGTTTTCCTGGCTCTCAGGCACTGGGATACCACTGTTCCTTTTTACTTCGGCACCAAAAACAGTGTGATAGCCTGAGTACCACGCTGGGACACMTTATTTTTGAAGCTGAAACACTCAGTTTAAAAGTCTCTACAAGTTGCTTCATATTCATAAAGATAAACTTATCGAAAAGTATTTTCTCGATGAGCAAAGTAACGTAGTTTCCAGCTGTCTGGGTAAAGCTTTTGATGACTGACTCAATGTCTTATTCATAGCACGAGACTTCGGATTTTGTCCGCCACTTCTTCACTCCGGGAGTTTGTTCACACCGGCTTTTTAATCGCTTGACATCTTTAGATATAAACTTATATTTTTCATAGTGATTTACGAACTAATACCGAACATTAAGGGAATTAACATCAAACGGGTGCCCTTTAAGTTCGGGCTTTTGACCGAATGGATTATCTCAGCGTGCTTGATAAACACACCTGTCTAGATTTCTCAACAGCGACATTTTGTTCTACCACTGCTGACGAGAACTTATCCTAAACAAAAAAACATTAAAAAAATAATAATCCTTACGAACTTAAAAGACGGAAACTTCAGTTCACTAGTTGAAATTACTCTAAGTAGCCAAAAAAATTCGTCACTCATTCTGCAGTCTTTGAAAAGACTTTGAACTGAATCAGTTGTATTGTTTTCAAAACACTTTTCTATTATTTGTATAATACCACAGTGATAAAATAAGTTATTATACGACCTGAACAAGTATAGCTGATATCGATACAAGTGCAGTGAAACTGCAGCTAAGTGGTGTTTTGCGAAGCGTTTTTTTTTAAAAACAGAGTTTAACTCATGTCCTCCCTAGCCAACCGTGGATAGAAAAAACCCTAGGATATTAAAGCTTCAAAGTCCTTTAAAACTTTTGGTTTTAGGCATCCTTATGAGTCACAGTCGTCAGACATCTTGGAACTGAAAGGGAATTCGCCCAAAATGGCGCCCATAGCTTGACTGATTAGTTTCGAAATGAAAACGAAATGGAACCATCCAGCATTTTCTCGTTATTATGAATGACAAGTTTCGGAAAGTTTCAAGTAGACTATATTTCTTTTTTTTTTTTTTTTCAATGAGTTTGGCGTAAAGTGGCCTATCTCTGCATGATGGAGGTTTAGTAGTTTGCTAGTGAGTTCAGACAACTGTCTCTTCTTTTGCTTCACACCTCACTCCCGGAAGTAGAATATAAAAGAAATATTTGTTTCTTTTTGTGTTTTCTTTTATTATTCGAGAAAGCAAAACAAAGGAAAAGAAATTTGCATGTTTGGTCAAATTGTTTTTCTTACGAAACCACGACTTTCTGATTTACTTTTCAKTAAGATTTACTCAGTAAATTTACCAGAATATCTTTGAGGAATGAAATGCAGGTTTTTGAAGGACTAGGAAACCTTTCAAATGTAAGAAACCTTTTCAGTGTTACGTACCTTGGTAACTGTTAATCAATATTTCACTCAATCAATTTTTCACAAAATAAATAAGACAACTTAGTAGCTTTAGTTCTTAAAACAATCACAAAATCAAGTTCCATTTTCAATTATCTTTTCGTTTATCTTGACAAGTTTAATAGTGAAACGAAAATAAGTAACAAAAATTATGAACACTTTGCTAACAAGTTAAAGCCACTTTTTGTGATAAATATCCCAAAGATAATAATTTTCCCGCATAGATATATTGATCATATGAAGTAAGATAGTAGGGGTTTGAAGAGGTGGGGATTAGAAACTGTGACACCAATGAAGTTTTCTTTGATAACAATGACAGCCCTTTTTCATTTCAGACAAAAATGTTTTTAAATATAGTGCACAACTGAATGAAACTACTGGACCATTGACAATATATTGAGAGTTTTTTAAAAGTATTCTTTGTTTAACTATATTGTCAGCTAATATCAGTAGAGACACAGTTCTGAAAGTGAATGAATACAGCATCATCCACTCTGCGATAAAGATCGATGCTTAGGTAATTAGTAAAAAAAAACTTCAAATGGGGAAACGAAGGCKACACGATTGGCGTCAACTGAGAGGTTGAGCGTATTGAGTTTCTGAAGAGCTTAATTCCGTCCTCGTTTTAGATGTTCGACAACACAGGTTTCTAGAGCAGTTTAAACTATGAAATAACAGCGAAGATAAATGACATGGCAAAAGTACTCACGGGTTTTTATCTCTTGTCAAGCAGGTAAAAAGTTTTTTTTTGACAGGATATTGAGGTTGTCCTTTCCCGTACTTAGTTTCCACGTACACGTTCCCATTCAGTAGTCAAGACAAGTTGTATTTATAACGGCCCAAAGGAAGCCTCATTAATTATAATAGTTTTGTCATATGACATTTACCAGTCAGCTTATGTTCAGATAAAATAACGATTAATGGCCGCGATACGAAGATTGAATGCCTTTTTCCAGTTTTCAATTAGTAATTTATCTTATTGAGAAGCCATCGTGAAATAAAATTACAGAAGAAAGAGCAAAACTAAGAGGCTGATGGAAAGAATTCTTGCTTCTTGAGTAATCTGGTTTGCGATTTTAAAAAGCTAATGTAAAACTGATAAATGCATTAATATAGAGTATTGGAAAAAGATTACTAAAATAGAAACGAAAGAGAATTGGAAATAGAAACGGAATTGAAAGGAAWTGAAAGGGAAATAATAGAGAAGAGAAGAGAACTGAAGAAAGGAGGAGAAAACGAAAGACGGATAAACAAAAAACACCCCCTCCCCCCAAAATAAAATATAAATAAATAAACAAATAAAAAAGGATAGCAAAAATGATAAAAAATTAAAAGCGAGAAAAAGGCTTTAATAATTTCTTCTACTGGGTACCCTGTGTTAAAGATGTTCAACGAGTCCTGGTCCTAATCTTGTTGTTCTTTGATCAATGGCGGCTGGTCGACAAAAGTCTTGTTGTTGTTGTTTGTGTTGCTTCGATCTCGCTTGTTTCTTCTCCGATGTTGGGTCTCGAAGCTGATAACCATGTCCAGGCACGTATAACTTGACGCTAGCACTACTGGCAGGTCAATCAAAGCTTTATGTCACTTTGAACGTCTCTAAAAAAATTGGTCGTTCTGATATATAAATTGTCAGAACACATCTTGTCTTATCAACTTATATCTATGTAGACAACAAAAGGCTTGATTCCTAGCTAGAATCTGCTTCTAATGGCATATTCAAAATCGTCCGCGACTAGTCAAAAGTGTAGTAAAAATTTATAAATGAAAATTGTTGACATTATTAAACCCGGGTTAAACACACGAGTTTACTAGTTCCATTCTGAGAGTCAAAACTAGAGTTCAAAGGACAAGGGTCACTAACGAGTTAACTGGAGCAAGTTCTCTAGATCATCATTCGAGTGCTCTAGATAATCATTCAAATTGAGAATAGTTTTTGTACTATCTAAGAAAAATATAATGGCTAAGCGGCTTTAGTGATATTTGCATTTTTGCTTGAAAATATTACGAGTTGATAAAAGAATGACTAGGAATCATATATTTTTAGAAGTGAGGTTTATATGAGTGCATTAATTATAGTTGGTCATTCCTTTGAATCAATGAAAACGTAGAGAAATTCAGGCCCACAAAGCCATAACCTTTGTATGTTAATACAATACGACACAGTATACATATGTATATACAGTATATGTACAGGCAATATATATAATATATGTACCCTTCATTTATTATCGTAACCAGTAAACCTACAATATGATGAACCATAACGTACGTATAGTAGTTGTGAGATAAGTTGAAATCAATGATTTATTAGTAGAAATCATACTTTGTTTCCAATTGATAGGATGTTATTAATCTAGCCTGTAAAAAAGCATTGAAAAGGAAAAGGCCAAGTAGTGGAAAATGGTTAGTATATGATTTACATTATACAATTTCCCATGCAATTTAGCAATAGTTTTTTTGAATTCTTTGTAGATAATGATTTATGTATTTGATTTTGTACTGGTATCCCTTTCATTTGATAATGGTATTTCTTTAAGTCTGGATCATTATTGTTATACAATACTTTCRTCCCTTCAAGGTAGCCAGGATTCTGACACCAAATTTAAATGCATTATAATTGTGTTTAAGGCAATCACTTGAAGATAGACTTCTTGACTGCTACATTGAGTCTTGCGAGGGAGCACCTAAGGACAAGGTAGGTAAAATCCTTGCTTAATCTGAAGTACTTCAGAAGACAGTCCACAGGACCTAGCCACATTTCTCAATAGGATTATTCACTTTCATTTGTCTTGGTTTTTGCTGATAATTCATTGGGTTAAATGCTTGAAGATGAGGATTTAGAGGCCAAGTGTCTCAGACTATTCATCTACCTGTGATTGTATTTCAGAGGTTTTGTCATGGTGTCAATTTGCTGGAGAAAGTTGTCCATCAAGACAATCTCTCGACTCTTGTAGTCAATTTGTATCCAAACCACGAGGGCTATTCTTTGATGCTGAAAGGGAAAAATGGAACGGGTATGAACATTTCATTTTTTCTTTCATTATTTCAAATTTTCTTAATTTTCAACTTTATACAAAATGGTTTTTGATTGCACTTTAAATGGTACAAAATAAATAATATTTTATGTCTCTTATTAAAAGCCACCAACAATTTCAATACTATACCCCTTTTACAACTGCAATATTGTATAAACTTTATGTATATTTAGATATTGAATGGAGGAATGAATTCAAACTCTTATAAATATATAATTATGCATTTTTATTCACAGAATCTGAAACTGTAAAACTCCCATACGAGGTACAGTACAAAATTTGTCAACTTTATATGACACATCTAAAATATTTACAAGAAAAGTATAACTGAATATATATCAATATTTACACTTGGATATTAAGATCAAGAAGAAACACAAATGAAGAGCAAAGTACCTGTTGAGTACATCTTTTTTTTTTATTTAAACATATTGACTCTCTGTGTTCTCTCCAAGAGCTAGGCTCATTGTGAGAGATTACACAGTTAACAGTAATCACAAGGCTTCTGGAGTTTAAGGAAAAAGAAAAAAAAAGTTTGATATATTAACAAAAAAAAMCACATGTATGTAGAAAAGTACATCGATTTTGCTTACTCTAGTTTTTGAAATAAGACCAAATAAAAGAGGTAATATTGACATCAATGAAAAATTAAGTTTTTGACAAAATAAACCCTTGAAATTTTTGAAAACAAGAGCCAATGATCCTTTATTGTGCATAATCTAAAGCTAATCATCTAGGAAGTTACTGTGCCAGGAGGCCTCTTCACTCGGTAGTCTTATCTTATCATTATTTTCCTCATGTTCATTTAATAAACTATCAAATTATTGCTTATATTTCCTAGGAGTCAGAATTTCTAGATTATCTGGATGCTCAGGAGGTAATCCCACTATTACTGCCCTAATATCATTTATTAATTGATTGATTAAGTACTATTTTGCAGGTTTATTATGACTATAGGTAGTATATAAATGATTGTCTCATAATAGCAGGAGGAGTCCTTGAATGGTTATATTGAATATTGAATATTTTATCTTTTCAGCTTCCTCCTATTCTTATAGACTTGTTGGAAAAATCTCAAGTAAGGGTGTATTTTATCCTCAAGGACATGGGAGAAAACGAGAACCATTACATATGTCAGTAATTTTTTGGGGAATGAGAAACTTTGACTTCCTTTCTTTGGGTGTTGCTATCATTCGTTTTGATTATATACACATTAAATTGGTATTTAGAAACTAGACAGGAAATACATCTAACTCCATTTCCATGAAAGTAGGAGTTCTTATTGCTATGGAAAAAGTTTTTTCACTTCTATATTTTTAGGGCAAAACAAAAGCAATTATTAAACAGATTGGTTATTATAAGCACTGATGTTACCCAATATTTTAGTTWAAAAAAAACCATTTCCTCTAGCAGCCAATGTTTGGAAATAAATTTGAAATATAAAATCATAGTACACGTGTAGTTAACTGATAATAAATGGTTGAGGAAATTGTATATTAGTGAATTCTAAATTTGGTTTCAATTTCCTGGGTTCGGTCTAAAAATATGGTTTCAATTTCCTGAGTTAATTGTAGAATTTGTCTCCAAGACAAAGAATACAATAACAAATGTACAGATAGTCAGGGTTTGATTTGAAAGGTCAAAGATATCTTCTTTTGTGTTGTAGGTAAATGTCTTTTATAGTGGCTGTGTAATAGTTGAGGTCAGAGACTACAGACAAACCCTGTCAGAGTCGAACTATGAAAGCAGTTATGTGTTACTAAAGCCAACATTTCAGGTAAAGTATATTATTAAGTAGATGTACAGTAACCCTAATGTTGGGGCTGGGGAGATGCAAGCTCTGTCAGAATTGATGATCCTATGAAAACAGTTATGTGATACTGAAAACCACATTTCAGGTAAATTGTATGTAGGGGTTCTGATGTTCATGCCGATCATAAATACCCTGATTTATGGGCGAGGTAGGGGGTGGAATGGAGGGAGGATATGTACTAGGTATATTTCATATATAATGTGAAATTATTTGGGGGTAGGGAAGGGCTACGACATGTATGTCTTAGGGGGAGGACTGATATGAGGTATGTTATGCTAGGGGAGGATAGGGTAGAGGAAAACTATTTGCTAAGAGGTATGATATCATAGGAGACAGAAGAGCTACAAAGTATTTGTCATAGTTACTATAAAATTGCAGGGGGAGGGGAGGGGAGGGGGAAATTAGTGAAGAGACACTAAGAATATAGAGAAAAGGGAGAGTCATAAGGGATATGGCACAGACTTTTGAATGTGGGAGGGGAGAGTAAAACTATGAATTGTCACAGTAGCCTGCTCTGTGCGAGGTGGCCAAGGGATCCTGGGGAGGAGAGGAAGGGAGGTGTCCTCCCCAGTCCTGCTTGTCCACCTACACAGAGGGACACCACACAACCTACTCTCAATGTAAATTAATCTAATTTTTATCAAACTGGTACCAACAGACACTGGTTTGTGATGTGAATGCATTAGCTGATTCCCACTGGACACAAGAAGATAAGCTGGCTCTTGAGGCACATCTACTCTTGGCAACAGAAGGCCCACTATGCCTTGATCCTTCACCTGACGTCGGCTTGGTTACCAACCAGCTGCAATTCAACCAGAAAAAATTTAACTGTCATGCTCTTAAAAGGTTTCTACTTCACTTAAATTTAAAAATCCTCAATAGCTATTGATAATGTGATCCTAATATCTCCAACATATTTAGGGAGAAATCCAAAAAAGTCCAAAAGGGAGGCCCAGGCAGTCTTGACAAAATAACTTTATAGATCTAACTACTTAGGGTAGAGCAAAGGCATTTTTCTTTGGAAAGGGATCTTTCATGAAATTATGATAGCATGTTTTTTGGCCTTCAACTAATTGTTGTTAGAGTGTTGATCATCACAGTGAATAAGCGATTTAAGTGAACGCTGTAAAGAAAGACCTGAAAAAATTATTTCAGGCTTCAACGGGAATCGAACATATGACCTCCACAATGCCAGTGCGATGCTCTATCAAATGAGCTATAAAGCCAATCCTGTTGGTGAGCGGTCATTTTTGTTAGTCTTCAGCTAATTCTATCCCAGGACATAAAGAATATGATTACCATTTATTCCTAATTTGTTTTTCATTGTAGTAGTCTAAGGAACTATGGCCAAGCCTTCCTCAAGAGAGCATCTGTAGCCTCTACAAACCCATCTCCTTCAAATCTCAAGTTGATAGACTTCCTTGGTCACTACAAGAAACCACAGCCACCAGTGAACCTTCGACTTGCCAAGACACCACAAATTACAGATACATGGAGACAGAAACCTATGCATCTTGCAGTGCCTTCAAGACTTGATGTTAGTCTCTGTAATTCAAAGATATCAGAAACATGCAGGGTTTCCATCAACAAAACACGGAACCCAGGGAGGGGGGTTCAGATACATGGAGACAGAAACCTATTCATCTTGCAGTGCCTTCAAGATTTGATGTTAGTCTCTGTAATTCAAAGATATCAGAAACATGCAGGGTTTCCATCCACAAAACACAGAACTCTGAGGGGGAGGGGGGTTCAGATACATGGAGACAAAAATCTATGCATCTTGCAGTGGCTCTGTAATCCAAAGATATTAGAAACATGCATTTTGCCAGGGTTTTCAGCCATAAAACCCAGAGCCCTAGGGAGGGGGGATATAGGACTGGTGGCCCCCACTAACCTCCCCTCCCCCATTGCTTTCAGTTCCATCCCATTGAGGTGCACCATTTCTTGCGGTGGTGAATTATTGATAAAAAGTATTTCAAGGCAATTGCAATATGATTCCCTGCCACTAATCAGTGCATTTAAACACTGCTTCCTCCTATCTAAAAATGTCCTCCATCATCTTTGAAAGGAGCTAATGAAAGAATGATGACAAGGCTGAACCCAGAGCTTGATGTTACAAGAATGGAGGATAAAGCAAAGGGGAGAGAAAGGTTGGGAAGAAGAGAGAAGGGAATGGAAGAAGAAGGGGAACTCAGTGCTTGTGAGCTTTGTAGAAATAGGAACCAGGACTGGACATGAAGGATAACAGGAAAGAAAGGAAAGGAAAGGGATACCACAGAGGAGCATGGCCTCTAGACCTAAAGTTTTTATTCTAAAACTCAAGAAACTGAGATGATAGAAAAATATTATCCTAATTTGATGTTCAAAATCGTATTTCAGGTTGATTTATACGCCAAAATGATAGAGAGACCCAAACTAAGCAGTGATAACAGCCCAGACACAGTCCAAGAGATAACTCTAGAAGGAGAAAAGACCAACAATAGGAACTATTACTGTAAGGTGACGATACAACGAAGACCAACTGACCTGCAGTACCTAGGGGAGTTGTATCTTGAAGAAGATACCTCTGGTAATGGAGCAAGTATGCAAGGTGGAAGTGGCAATAGGGGCAAAGGAACTGGAAAAGCTTGTCAGTTTTTCTTAGGAAGCAAATTAAGCGCACAAAAGTAAGATTTATAGATATTTTAGAAGTGGTTAAGTTGTGTATTACTTGTCATTTGATTTACTAACTAACAATGTATTTGAACCTTTTTTCATTCTCAGGTATCTTCAACAATTCAAAGATCTGTACACTGAAGAAGGTCGCAAGTCAGTCAAGATATGCAACTTTATACCTGGCCAACACACCAATCAGTCTACCAGTCATCACAATGTTATAGCCAATCAGGGTCCACCACAGGCAACCCAGAATGCTCTTCAAATTGAAACCAGCACATCAGAAAGTAGTGAACATGATACTAGCGGCACCACTACAAACCCTACACTTCCTATTACTACTTCTATTAATCTCCCTTCTCAAGCTTCTGTGTTGCCAAGTTCAAACCTGTCGAGCTTACAGACTTATGGACAGAAGTTGGCAGCCTTCCAGCAACAGCAGCAACAACAATCACATAGTTCTGTAGTATCATTGTCTCAGACCGTGACAGGGTCTTCTGTGGCTGTTGGTACTAAATCTACACAGTCAGGAGGCAAGAAAGGTATCGTAATACAAGATAATTATTGGTAATTATTTACTTAAATATATACAATTTACCTACTGTCAGGTGATAAATCGGCAGTCATTGATGATCGGCCAGGAGTTGGCTGATTGTTGATTGATGCATCTTGTTTGCTTATAAAGAGATGATCCTCAAAAGTTTTAGCCATGAGTTTCCTTGATCTTTTGATAAATACAGCTTACATATAGGTTTCCATAGTTACAGGATCAATCGCCAAGTCATCTATAAACAACCCTATTTCAACCAAGACACAGCACACTACCCTGCCCAGGCGTCACTCACAGCAAACAGATATTAACAGCCAACAGTCGCCTACTACAGTAACAGGAGGATATACTGGAGTCATGGGTACATATATACAGGTATGTACCAGGAAACATACTCTCACTGGTATTTAACTGACTGAAAAGGGCCTTTACCGAGATAGTGATTAAATGGATATTTTTAGTCTAGCTTTGCTTCAAGCATCTTTATAAAATAACTATAATTAATCTTGATTTTTTATTGCTTGAAGGGGCATACATTAAGAGAGCACACAGTATCCATAAACACATGTTCTATTTTATCATTCTTTTCAAAAATAACAACTACTTTACCACTCTTTTCAATGCTACACACTGATCGAGACAACAGTCGCGGCAGGGAAATAGGGCAATACGCTTCTGTCAATCAAATAAATTGGTCGGCACCTTTATATTCTCTGATTGGCGGCAGCGTATTGCCCTATTTCCCTGTTGCGACTGTTGTCTCGATCAGCATGTAGCAGTGAAAAGAGTGGTAATTCATATCTTATAAAATATTGAAATAAGAACTTGCTTGCTGTGCTTTGTAAGAATTATAAAGCACTTTTATTTTAATTTTTTTTAAGCAGGAATGTTTCAATCTTGATTGTAATGTTTTATCTGTTCAACAGCCTGTAGGGAGTGGAGGAGTAAATGTGACACTACCATCAGGCGTGACTGTAGCAGTAGCAAGTGGTACTCCCATTGTCTCTGTTAATAACAGTGTTGCTTCTATCACACCTGGTAATATACAAGGCCAGTTTATTGCAACAGGAATCAAGTCTACAGGACAGCCTATCCAGCCTGCACCACCTACACCAATGACTTTATTGCAGGTATGTAGCCATTGTGGATGTAAAGTCCCATTTGATAAAGCATGGTAATAAATGCTGATTAAGATGGCTATTGAGAGCAATTGGCACTGTATGTAAGTATTAGTTATGTGGAGAACAAGTTGTTGGTAAGTCCTTGGTGTGTATTCCTAAAGTTGTCTCAGTACACGAGGGCATAAAGTGTGGTGATGTAATCTTAAGAAGTGATGGTTGAGGGTATGAGGTAAGTTATTGACATAAAAGTAAGTGGTTGATTAACCATGTTGCTTTATGGTATTGATTGTTTTTGGATGCCAATATCAACATTTACTGGTATTCAACTGTACAATACTTATTACTTAAGCCCACTGTCCCCATGCAAGCATACCCCATCCATCACTCACAGTATATTGGTGTGCGAAAGAGTGGCTAATGCTTATTTTAGTCAATTTTTTGTCTGTTTTGATTAGACTTTTATTTGAGTTGTTGTATATCTCACCAGGGAACAACCACATTACAACCTCAACAAGGACAGCTAACTCAAGCAAGACAAGTAACCACCACATTCACGGTAAGACAAAGGTTGAGCAAAATGCAGATCCTTCATTTGAATATTTTTTGGGGAAAGGAAGAAAAGTGTGGAACTATAAAAATCCAAAGTTTTATGAGGATACTGGATTGTGCCAAAGGCTGGTTAAACATGAGGAGAATCCTGGTAATTTGTTGGTGTGCTAGCATCCAAACCATCCAGGGGGGGGGGGGGGGGGGGGGGAGTATTGTTAGTGATACTCCTGGTTGCTTCATGTTGCTGCTATAGGAAATAATAATGAATAGAACATGCCTTACATTTTAACCTGTACATACATGTACCCTACATTATAGCTGATACTATTGTATTTATTCCAGTTACCTGGTAATCTAGTACCAATATCCCAGATAGCACCTGTAGGTGGTGTGGCTAGTATGAATGCTCAACTCCAGGCAAAAACATCATCACAGACCACAGCCACAGGACAGCCAACACCTATCTTACCCAACAAACCCATGTCACCCCCATCAGGTCTGGCTAATGTTGCTATCAATGCTAGGCCGATATTGCCACAACATCCACAGGGGCAGCAACAGAGAAAGATATCTGTGGGGAGAACACTAGGTGAGAGAAATATAGATATGATTTCGATGGTGACAACAGTGATGACGATAAGAATGGTGTAGGTTAGGTGCACTCTAATGAAGTGTCTGTCTAGTCATGATGATAATGATGATTGTGGTGCTGATGATGGAGGTGATGATGGTGATGATGATGATGGTAAAGATG